AAAATGATATTTTAATCTTTTAATTATCTTATATTGTGATTGACGGCCAATTTTAATATATTTTTAATACTATTTAAATAAATCACAATATGACGCACCTACAATATCTTACAAAATTCACAATTTATACTTCTCAAGTGATGCTGTTAAGGAGATTTTCTGGCCGGGACGAGAACGAGCAACTCGCGAAACTAACGAAGCCACATGGTTCAAGATCATTAAATTTGTAGCCTCTAATAATCCTAAAATTTACAGCAAGACTTTCCGGGGTATTAAGGACAAACGCTGGTACTTCGTCGAAGTCTCTGGTACATGATACAGCGCTGTTGCAGGAGAGGGCGTCACTCAGGTTTTAGAAAGCGGAGGCGTCGCTCGGGTTCTAAGCCGACGTCGTGTCTGCTGGCTAAGGATAGCGGAGGTCGATCTCTCTGCAGGCGACATCATGTCTGCAGCCACCATCGTCATAGGGAGTCGGAACTGAAGCCTTGATGTCGGTATCCGCGGGCCTTTACACAATCGCAGGCTATTTATTCTACGTTTGGTTAGGTTTTTCGACAAATTGGAACATTTTATACGATTTATACAAAACTTCGTTAGTCTCAATTATTCTCGATATCATTCCTTTCAGTAATTGATAGTTAAAATTCAACAAACAATAAAACTTCAAGATCTTCGCCTTTTATGGTTAATTATCGTGCTTATAAGACCCCGCCACAGAAACTGTCCTAGTCTGTGACCGCTGTAACATTTCGTAACATCCTAATATTTTTACGAAAAATGTTGCGAACCTCTTGCCCGGATGATGGGACTGTTTATCTACTGAAGGTGACTGGCTCCTGGGATGTTTCATCGCGTAGGCTCGTAGAAATTGGCAGGTGTTTCAGTGGTGTCCACGCAACATCCCAGAAGACAGACACCTAAAATCTCATCTGCTATCCACGCCTGCTTATTCAGTGTTTCTGCACCGAAACCCTCACACGTGCAGACCGTCTCCTCCATCCGCATTGGAAATCTAGGAGTAAATTGGAGAATATTGGAACGAATCCACAAGAAACTGCGTGAGAGGACGTGAACTAGATTCATGATAATCCTGTGAAAAGTTTCTTGTCAACACATTAGAGAACCTTTGGGTTCCACAAAAGTTCGGCAATATCTTGATTAGCTAAACGAATATAAACTGTTCTATACATCAGTACAAACTGATAACGCTCCGCACATGAAACGAACGTGCCTAAAAAACGTTCACGTGCAGGCCATAGGTCGATAATCCCTCCTTTGGCGAATCTTGAGGACGAAGCTGTTTCAGTCTGGCCACATCGATAACTGATAATGGGATCTTAGCTCGTGATAAAACTTACAT